TTTAGTCACCATCTAAATTAGATACCATCTGAATTAGCCACCTTTTAATTAGCCACCATCTAAATTAGCTACCTTTAAATTAGCCACCATTTAAATGGCTCATTTAGATGGTGGCTAAGTTGAAAGGTGGCTAATTCAGATGGTGACTAATTAAAAGGTGACTACATAAAAAGTGGCTAATTTAGATGGTGGCTAATTAAAAGGTGACTAATTCAGATGGTGACTAATTAAAAGGTGACTACATAAAAAGTGGCTAATTTAGATGGTGGCTAATTAAAAGGTGACTAATTCAGATGGTGACTAATAAAAGGTGACTACATAAAAAGTGGCTAATTTAGATGGTGGCTAATTAAAAAGTGGCCAATTCAGATGGTGAGTTATTAAAAAGCGGCTAATTGAAAAGTGGCCAATCAGATGGGGGCTAATTTAGATGGTGACTAATTAAAAAAGTGGCTAATTAAGATGGTGGCTAATTAAAAAGTGGCTAATTCAGATGGTTGCTAATTAAAAGGTGGCTAATTAAAAAGTGGCTAATTTAGATGGTGACTAATTAAAAAGTGGCTAATTCAGACGGTGGATAATTAAAAAGTGGCTAATTCAGATGGTGGCTAATTAAAAGGTGACTAATTAAAAAGTGGCTAATTTAAATGGTGGCTAATTAAAAGGTGGCTAATTCAGATGGTGACTAATTAAAAAGTGGCTAATTCAGACGGTGGCTAATTAAGAGGTGACTTATTAAAAAGTGGCTAATTTAGATGGTGGCTAATTCAGACGGTGGCTAATTAAGAGGTGACTAATAAAAAGTGGCTAATTCAGATGGTGGATAATAAAAAGGTGACTAATTAAAAAGTTGCTTATTTAGATGGTGGCTAATTCAGATGGTGGCTAATTAAAAGGTGAAAATTAAAAAGGGTTAGCTTATCAGTAGAAAGTAGCTTTTCCCTTAAGATAGAATCTGATATGCCAATAACTATTCTATCTCTTATCAAACTGTTTTTTAGTTGCTCAAAATTACAAGAATTAGCTTGGTTAACCAATTTTGTAAAACAATCTTCAAAACTTTGATGGGTTTCTTGTGTAATTTTGTTGAACAAAAATCTCTCAAATACTTCATTAGATTTACCAAACAAATAACTTATCAAATCGTTGAACAACTTCATCTAATTCAATATCTTCATCATCCATGAAACCAAAACTGTTATCTATATCTATAACATCTGGGCCTAAACTAGACATAAATGATGCTACCTGTCATTGGATTTCCTATCAAGGCCAGAAGCTGTGTAGTACCAGTTCCACTGTTGCTTCCATTTCTTCCAAGAAGGAGCCATCTGAGTACTTGAAACCACAAGACATTTTGGTGGTTTTACATTATTATCTTTGTCTTCTGTATGGTTTGTATGGATATCATCATCTTCCTTAAAGTCATACCTCTTATTTCTATTCCGTGTGGGTTTCGGCACCATGTCATTAGATTAATTATTAAGTAATTGTACTGAACTCAAGAAAGGTTGTTTATTTCTAATTTAACAAAAACTCAATCAAAATATAAAAACAATAACACAAAACATATGTAGAACATCCATATGTTATAAACATATTAACTACTACTGTCAGTGACTAATTAAAAAGTGGCTCATTTACATGGTAGCTAATTAAAAAGTGGCTAATTCAGATGGTGGCTAATAAAAAGGTAACTAATTAAAAAGTGACTAATTCAAATGGTGGCTAATTAAAAAGTGGCTAATTCAGATGTTGACTAATTTAAAAGTGGCTAATTAAGAGGTGACTAATTAAAAAGTGGCTAATTTAGATTGTTGCTAATTAAAAAGTGGCTTATTCAGATGGTGACTAGTTTAAAAGTGGCAAATTAAAAAGTGGCTAATTCAGATAATGGCTAATTAGAAGGTGACTAATTAAAAAGTGGCTAATTCAGATGGTGATTAATTTAAAAGTGGCTAATTCAGATGGTGGCTAATTTAATAGTAACTAATTCAGATGGCGGCTAATTAAAAGGTGACTAATTAAAAAGTGGCTAATTTAGATGGTGGCTAATTAAAAAGTGGCTAATTCAGATGGTGGCTAATAAAAAGGTAACTAATTCAAAAGTGACTAATTCAAATAGTGGCTAATTAAAATGTGGCTAATTCAGTTTGTGACTAATTAAAAAGTGGCTAATTCAGATGGTGGCTAATTAAAAGGTGATTAATTAAAAAGTTACTAATTTAGATGGTGGTTAATTAAAAGGTGGCTAATTTAGATTGTTAGATAGTTAAATGTATAAGTAATTAATACATCAGCTGATTTATTATTATTAAGTTTATTAGTAAATATTCTGCTTAGCTTGATGTGTTTAAGAATTCAATAAAATGGTTCTTTTATATTTTGATTATCATTTAGTGCAGTTCTACATTGGCGACGATGAGTAAACGAACCAAAAGAAGAAATAGTTATTTTAATGAAGAAGATAAGTATGAAACTAAAGAAGACGCATTACAATCAAAGATAGAGAAGTTCAAATGTCAAAGCTATGATGAGTCTAGTAGATGGGATGATTATGAAGCACATTTTCTATTGTTATGCAAGGTAAAAGGATTGGGAGAAGATTCTTAGAGAGCAGATGATGCTCGAAGGGATCTTTTGCTTGCCTATGTGGGTCCTGCACCATTAAGAAAAGTTTCAAACTTTCTGCTGCCTTTAAAAGTACATCAGGCTACGTGGGCAGAACTAGTTAATGGTTTCAGGTCAGTATACAAAGCTAGTAAAACTATATTTTCAGCTAGAATGGAATTTGAAAAAAGCATCAGAGAAAATAGTGAGAGTCTTTCAGAATTTGTAATACGTTTGAAAAATTTAGCAGATTTTTGTAAGTATGAGAACAAGTTTCACGATATATTAGAGATAGATTTGCAATAAGAGATAGATTTGCTGGAGGTATAAATTTTCCAGAGTTTGAAGTAGAAATTGGACAACGATGGCCTGATGGGGTAAAAGAAAGTGGTGACAAGTTAACATCTGAAGATGTTTTTGATCTGGCCACTTCAATGGAAAGAGCTCGTCATGAGATATTCAAGAATAATGATAAAGAGTTGGAAGTATCATAAGTAAGAAGAAACAATAAGGAGTTTAAAAGAAAAGTGAAATACAATGAAAAGACAAATCATCCATGTAGTAGATGTGGAACAAAGCATGAATTTGGTAAATGTCCAGCCTATCAACAAAAGTGTTTGAATTGTAAAAAAATAGGACATTTTGCAAAGGTATGTCGACAAAAACGAGTGAATAATTTGCATGAAAAGTCAGAAGATGAAGAATCTGAATCGGACTCACATGACATGAGGATAAACGATGTTAAAAAGGAAAGAAGACATATTTGTAAAGCACGTATTCATTTAAAGTTAAATAAGGTAGCTACAAACACGGAATTTGACTCTGGAGCTTGGGCCTCAATGATAGGTAAACCTCTTTGGGAGAAAATTGGTTCACCAAGACTTGATAAGACTAATTCAAAATACGTGGCATATGGAAACAATATTTTAGATATACTTGATGAATGTTATGTCAATGTTTCAGTACGTGATGAGACACGTAGATTAAAAGTAGCAGTAGTAAATGGAAATGAGAAACCGCTGTTTGGTTTACCATGGATATTAGCCTTTAATATGAACCTCCCTCCTGATGTTACTATTAGTAAAGTAAAATGTAAGCAGAATCATAATCAATATAAGATGGATGATGTGAGGGTTAAGGAAGTACTAAAAGAATTTGAAGATGTGTTCTCTGAAGGGCATGGGAAAATCAAGGGTTATAAAGCACGAATTCACGTTCGAGAAGATGCAAACCCTCAACATTTTTCAGCGCGCAGGGTTCCGTTTCCCTTGAAAAAACGAACTGAGAATGAACTTTACAAGACTTGTAAATGAGGATATCATTGAAGAGGTAGATAGGTAGATCCTGCTGCTACACCTATTCCCTGGGCTACCCCAACAGTTAATGCAGAGAAGAATGATGGTTCAATAAGAATTTGTGGAGATTTCCGAGTCACTTTGAATCAAAATTTGGTCCCAGAAAATGCAATTATTCCGACATTTGAGGAACTAACAAACAAAGTTGCAGGCGGACAAGAGTTTTCCAAGATAGACCTACGAGATGCATACCTACAAATGGAGGTTGCAGAAGAACACCGAAAGTATTTAGTAATAGCAACGCATAGTGGTTACTATAAATACACACGTTTACCTTTTGGGATATCATCTAGTCCAGGTATTTTCCAAAGATATATGGAAAGACTCTTAGCTGGGATACCACAGGTTGGAGTTCTTCTGGACGATATTATAATAACTGGAAGGAATAAGAACGAGCATTTACGAAATTTGAGAGAGGTTTTGAAACGAATGAAAGAAGCTGGTATAAAAGCAAAATCTAGTAAATGCAAATTTTTTGAAGAGTCAGTGACTTACTTGGGACATACAATCGACCGGAATGGAATACATCCTACTGAAGAAAAAATAAAAGCCATTCGAGAAGCACGGTCACCTACTAATGTCAAGGAACTCCGATCATTTTTAAGTTCTATTAACTACTATGAACGATTCATTCCGGGACTTCATGCCATTTGCAGTGATCTCCATAAGCTGACTGGGACTAAATCACAATGGAAATGGTCCGAACAAGAAGAGGGGACATTTAAAAGAGTAAAAGAAATTCTATCAAGTAAAGATACAGTAGTACCATATGAAGAAATGAGACCTTTGGTAATGGTCTGTGATGCATCAGAAAATGGATTGGGAAGTGTACTAATGCACAGATATGAAGATGGACTAGAAAGACCAATTGCTTTTGCCAGTCGTACACTTTTGCCCGCTGAAAAACAATATTCAAATATCGACAGAGAAGCGCTAGCTATTATGTTTGGACTCAGGAAATTTCATCAATATGTATATGGTCGGAAGTTTACTTTAGTAACCGACCACAAACCTCTACAACGGATATTTGGAAATATGCGAGATCTCCCAAAAGTTGTAAATAGCCGTTTAGTGAGGTGGGCTCTCCAGTTGAATCAATACAACTATGACATAGAGTACAGAAAAGGAGAAGATAATGTGTGTGCTGATGTTCTATCAAGACTTCCAATTGAAGAAGATCAACCTGAGGAGGCTCACATTGGTTTTTTGAATGTTGATAAGGTTAACTCTATCATGTCTTATGACCTCTTGAAACAAAATTCGTTTACAGATAAAGCAATTAAAATGGCAAAAAACTTTGTATTGAGAAATACATGGCCCCCTGTTGTTCCTGAAATGTTGAAGTCATACAAACAGAGGAAAGATGAATTGAGTGTTGAAGATGACATATTATTGTGGTTTGGAAGAATTGTAGTTCCAGAATGCATGAGAACTGATGTTCTGAAGATATTGCACACAGGACATCCTGGTATTGTATCAATGAGGTCTGTAGCACGACACTATGTATGGTGGCCCAACATGGATACAGATATCGAAGTTTATATCAAGAGGTGCACATCTTGTCAAGAGAATCGAGATAATGTGGAAGAAGTAACATTATATCCTTGGAATGTACCTGATAGAGTTTGGGAAAGGGTACACATTGATCTGGCAGGGCCAGTCAACGGATCTATGTGGTTGGTAGGTATTGATGCTTTGTCAAAGTGGGCAGAAGTGGACTGTCTCAAAACAACAAACTCTTCAACAATCATTCAACGATTGAGATCTTGGTTTAGTCGATATGGAATACCAAGTGAAATTGTGACAGACAATAGACCTCAAATTGTATCAAAGGAAATGGAAAAATTGTTTGAGAAAAATTTTATCAACCACATAAAAACAACTCCTTACCATCCTAAAAGTAATGGACTTGTGGAAAGAATAATTCGTACTTTGAAAAGACGGTTCTACACAACAAAGCAGGATGTTGAAGATGGAATGCTAGCTCTTCAAAATGTTCTTTTTAGCTACAGAAACTCGCCTCAGAAAACAACTGGTAGGGCTCCGGCAGAATTGTTTCTCGGTCGTAGACTACCAACAATTTTTGACAATATGGAACCTAATCTTAGGAAAAAGATGGAGATGAAGCTTTGAAAAGAACAAGGGAGGGCCAACAAAAAAGTTCGAACTTTTGAAGAAGGAGAAGATGTGTGGATTAATAATGAACATGGGAATGGTTGGTCAGCTGGAATGGTGAAAAATAAAAATGGACTGTACTCATATGATGTACTTTGTGGAGGTGTTGTAAAAAGGAAACATGCGGACCAGATGAGACAAAGAATGAGAGCTGTTGAATCTGTATAAAAAAGAAAGAGGGGAAAAGTGTTAGATAGTTAAATGTATAAGTAATTAATACATCAGCTGATTTATTATTATTAAGTTTATTAGTAAATATTCTGCTTAGCTTGATGTGTTTAAGAATTCAATAAAATGGTTCTTTTATATTTTGAATATCATTTAGTGTAATTCTACACAGATGGTGACTAATTTGAAAGTAAATAACTTCTTGATCAGCATTGTACGTGTTATTAAATTTACGGAAAGTAAATAAAAGAAACGTCTTATAACACTTAAAACATATATTTACGCTTATACTGTTACTCACAAGACGGTAAATATACAAAACAGATGGTAAGTGGTGATCGATTTCAATTGGACACTCCAATCATCATCAGACCCAATAGGCGAATCTATCATTCGCCTATTCGGTCTGATGAGGATTGGAGTGTCCAATCGAAATCGATCACCACTTACCATCTGTTTTGTATATTTACCGTCTTGTGAGTAACAGTATAAGCGTAAATATATGTTTTAAGTGTTATAAGACGTTTCTTTTATTTACTTTCCGTAATTTGAAAGTGGCTAATTCAGATGGTGACTAATTTAAAAGTGGCTAATTCAGATGGTGGCTAATTAAGAGTTGACTTATTAAAAAGTGGCTAATTCAGATGGTGACTAGTTTAAAAGTGGCTAATTCAGATGGTGGCTAATTAAGAGGTGACTAATTAAAAGTGGCTAATTAAGATGGTGGCTAATTAAAAAGTGGCTAATTTAGATGGTGGTTAATTCAGGTGGTGACGAATTAAAAGGTGACTAATTAAAAGGTGGCTAATTCAGATGGTGACTAATTTAAAAGTGGTTAATTTAATGGTGGCTAATTAAACAGTGGCTTTTTCAGATGTTGACTAATTTGAAAGTGGTTAATTCAGATGGTGGCTAATTAAGAGGTGACTAATTAAAAAGTGTCTTATTTAGATTGTTGCTAATTAAAAAGTGGCTAATTCAGATTGTGATTAATTTTTAAAGTGGTTAATTCAGATGGTGGCTAATTTAAAAGTGACTAATTCAGATGGCAGCTAATTAAAAGGTGACTAATTATAAGGTGGCTAATAGGTATTATAGGTGGCTAATTAAAAGGTGGCTTAATCAGATGGTGGCTAATTAAAAGGTGACTAATTAAAAAGTGACTAATTTAGATGGTGGCTAATTAAAATGTGGCTAATTCAGATGGTGACTAATTTGAAGGGGCTAATTTAGATGATAGCTTATTAAAAAGTGGCTAATTCAGATGGTGGGTTATTAAGAGGTGACTAATTAAAAAGTGGCTAATTCAGATGGTGGCTAATTAAAAAGTGGCTTATTCAGATGGTGGCTAATTAAAAGGTGGCTAATTCAGATGGTGACTAATTTAAAAGTGGCTAATTCAGATGGTGGCTAATTAAAAGGTGACTAATTAAAAAGTGACCAATTTGGATTGTGGCTAATTAAAAAGTGGCTAATTCAGATGGTGGCTAATTAAACCTTATTTTAAAATAAAACCCTTTACAAAATGGTTTAATAGGGCGCATTTAAATAAGGACAACGTATATTTCATGTGACATATACGGAATTGTAGAAGTCAAAAGAGCTTTGCAAACATCAATAACATCCAGCAGCTGATATTATACGAGGGGTTGACTTTCCGACTCCTAGTACTTAAAGTAGGCTAGTACTTTGTACTTGATGCATTCAAACACTTTTACATAGGTACAATTAATTGTATGCTAATTTTTTACAAAATCAAGTTAGGTATAATTTGTAAAATTAATTTGATTTACAAATTAATTTGTTGCTTTGGCCCTTGAAAATAATTTATAAATAATACATAGTCACATACAGTATATTAAAATAACGTTGAGCGATAACTTCTCTCTGTGTATTAATATTTCTTGTACACTGTATTTAGAAACAACAACGTATAACAGTCAAATTTTGTAATTAGATTAGATTAAGTGATAGTTCGAAAAAACACATTTGTTGAGTGCTATGCTAATGAATTCATTTCTAAAGGAAATAAAATTGTAACATTGATTATGTTCTTTGATATCGTCAGTAATTGAAATTCCAATGGTTTGAAAAGGGCAACAATTGTTGAAAACCCTTTATACATAAGTACCTACCGAATTATTTTTTAAGTTGTCGTATTAAAGCTTTGGCATAGGCACAGCAAGAAATTGTAAAGATGGGTTCGTTTATATATATATCAACAACTTGATATTGGAAACTATAATCTAAACTTATCATTTGGATGAAATGCTCGTATTTAAGTTTCATAACGTTATGAAAAAGAGGTGGATTTTCTCTCTGTATTTCCTTAAAATTTAAAACAGTCGTCAAGAAGTTTGTTGTTCTTTCCGTCTGCAGCGGAACTGTTGCAGCCAATTCAAAGAAACTCTTGATTTTGTCACTTTGCTGTTTCTGTCTTAAAACTTTTGAAGTATATTTTGATAAATTACTTGATTTTCGTTTTTCAAAAAGAACACAATTTCTTAACGGTTTTCTTAATTTCTCATCTGCACGATAACTGTCTTAACTTTGTGGAACAACTTATTTCTTACTTAAACTCACTCTATAAGCCTATCATATTGTGTTTTACTTTCATGCTCATTATTCAACCTTCTTCTCCACAGAAAAAAATATTAAATTTGTGTCAGCACTAAGTAATTTTAATATGCCATATAGGGATTACGGTTTTGCCATATGTATCTTACTAAGACATAAACTCGCGATTGATTTACTTTTGTTCATTTTGAGGTCTCTTATTGCCTGAGCCCAATGGTTTCACTTGCATTGATGGACGACAACAAATCTTACTGTTTTTTTAAAATATTAATGCAACATGGCGGATTTCAACGCAAATATTAGTGAAGAATTCGTTAGAGTAGGATTTGGTTTTGGAAGATGAGAACGAAGTGACCGTAAACGAATTGACTTTACAACTTTATTAATCGTAGCAAAACTTAAAATATTTGTAGGCTTTTAAGTTTTATTTGTTAACCTCTTGGACAAATCAAACACCTCGAGCAATGTTCGATCCCCTGGTACTAATAAATTATTATGGTCCTGGGAAAAATCTTTAGACAATATTATTAACAAACAACTCACTCCCTGATTTGTTAATAGGCCTGCATAAAAATACACTATTAGGCTATTTGAACCATCTGTGTAGCATTTTGTTCATTAATCCAACAATTTGAGAGCTAGGCTTACTGTACGGTTTGAAAAACTAAAAGATGGAATATTATATTCCTTTTTAAATATTAAATATCATTTAAATCATTATTGCGAATGACAAAGCATAGATCGATCCAGGCATGGATGTTTGATTTTCATAAACCTTTGCAGGGAGTACTTATAAAAATATACATTTAATATAAATAGGAACAACACAACTAAATGTTTTACATTCATAACGAAACCAATCAAAACTAACCACATTAAGAGTAAACATTACCTTTTTAGCAGTACGATCTATCTCCGAAGTTTGATGATGTGCTGCAGCACAAAAATTAAACACTTTAAATTCTGTTATTTGTCAAACATTTGTTCAATTCACTAAATATCGATGGATTACACATACGCCACGCTACACGCACAATGATTCAACTGTTATCATAAAACAATAACAATTTGTTGATGTGAAAACGTATAAAATACTGTTGTGATACAATTTTAAACGTAGCCGACGCGACGCGTTGTAATCTGCATACATACTGCCAGACTGTATTGTTGCGTCACACAACTCGCGAATCAAACTACTCTCACAGCACCTGGCTATACGGTAGGTGACATAGGCATGTTTGCTGACGTCATGGGGTTGGTCAACAGTTATATTCAGTGCCATCAAACATTAACACATTACTCATGTGCATGCAAACTTATAGTCTAGTATTTCTTGTTTTCTTGTTTTTTTTTATTTTTTAAAATGTTGATTTGTTATTTATCATAAATTGTATTACTGTTAAAATTCATATTTATTGAATTGTATTGGTGCTATATCTAAATTGTATTTAAGATAGTATTTATTACCTGTATTTATTTTGTAATGGTCTTGGCCATTAAATGAAATATAATAAAATTACTTCAATATCATAAGCTAGTTTGAAAGAAAGCTATGAATATTATTTTCTTGAGTGTGGCAGATTGCGTGGAAATATAATAATAATATCTATGGTTCTTACCGTCAACGCAATCAGGAGTAATATTCCACTACGGCCGTTTCGGAGATGACTCCATCGTCAGGTGCGTAGTGGTACACTAAACTATAGTCTTGTCACATTTAACACGAGTTTTCATGCAAATGAAGAAAACTCGTGTTAAATGTGACAAGACTATAGTTTAGTGTACCACTACGCACCTGACGATGGAGTCATCTCCGAAACGGCCGTAGTGGAATATTACTCCTGATTGCGTTGACGGTAAGAACCATAGATATTATTATGAATATTATTGCTAATTTCACAACTCTTTACTCACAAAATATTTAGAATTCATTGTAATAATATGACTTCTTGTTGATTTACAGCTACTAAATCAATACAACTCTAGATTATTTTCAAGTAAGTTGAAACATTTTGGTAAACCATACGGATGCGGTATCACGTTTTTTTATACATTCTCTACTAGTTTGTATGATGTTATACTATGGACTGTTAGCATATTATATTATTATTGGATATTATTGTTTGTCCTATTTTCGTTGCTATACAGTATGTTAAACTTACGACGAAACGAGGTAAAAAATCTTACAAGTTTGTTATTATAAGCCAACATAT